CCTTTACTGTAAATCTCAGAAAAATGGTGATATCAGCGTGGATTTTGATTCTTTTCTCTCCTGTAATGGTTGATGAAGTTAATAAAAATGTTACCAGGTTAATTTCATCTTGTATTCTTCTGCTTTTCAGCTTTACTGGATTTGGTTTGGGATAACGTTTCCGTTCTGTGAGTAGCCTTTTCTCCCTTTAATGTATTATTAGTGGATTTGAGGATCTTAAACCATTGATTCGAGACATGAGCTTCCATTGTTAATCGAACAGTTTTCTTCCTTATTATCACATTTCTTTCGCTGTTATATCTGGTAACTGATTACAATGCTAAGATTTGTTTAAGTTGTTCATGTAAGATGGACTCATGAAATATGTTAAACCCCTTAGTTTGCGTACTTTAGTTTGCGGTACCATATGTTTGAATAAATTCCTAAGAAAGCCAGTTAAGATGTACTATGATTTCTTCCCCTGTTTTTTGGCTATTAGTTATTGTTTACAATGGTAGGATGATTGATGAGGGAGGATGAACTATTGAAGTGAACTAAGGCTTGACACTGGTATTATGTTCTAACTTTTTCTTTTTATGCAATAACTTTTTGAAGAAGGGTAAGCCTGAATGATGTAGCCGTAGGATCCTGTATTTTTCTGTCTCGTTACTTGAGTTCCTTACTCTTTGCAATGTGGTTTTGCATGGTTTAGTATCATGTAGCTGTAGGATAAGGTTATGCCAACGGTGCCAACAATTCCTAAACATGTGTATACTGTGTTTTCTAGTGTGTCTTTGAAAAGATTCATAAAATTGTTTTGCATGATTATGCCATAACTCTCTTTAATCTGTTTTTTAATTAATGGGTGCTATTTTTGCTATTATATTCTTTTAATCTTGAGGAATGAATGGAATGGATGTCCAGGTTAGTGGATAACATGTCTAGGGAGGCTTTAAGATGATATATCCATTGTTGGATTGGATTTATATGAGTTAACTTATGTTACCTTCATTGGCCAAGGATATCTTAACTGGTTTATTTCACTGAAAATCATGCTAGGAGTTTTTTTACTACTTTTTCTTGTGAACTCTTTAGTCAAATAACTTTGGGACCACAAGCTGGACATGTTGCATTTTCTCCAGAATATATGATTGAAGAGGAAGTTTTCCTATACAGGACTTTGGAAACACTCCAATTTTCTTTCGTGATTTTTCTTTGTTAATTTGCTGGACTTTGATATTCTGCAGGTCTCCTTTGCTTGGTGGGCATTTTCATATCGCCATTCAACTTTGTCTCTCTCGATGAAAGTTGTTGATCTTTTGGCCTTAATTTTGCTCTAAGAATCCTGCTTTTTTTTTTTTTTTTTCCTCTAAGAACTGCCACTATCATGCTTAAAGCAACCTTCATTACCTTCTTTTCAATCTTTCCTATCAAACCCAGAACATCAAAACTCTTTCTGCACTCTGTTTCTTGTGCTTTCCTTTGCAGCCACCCACCTGTTCAACAAAAGGCGTCACTCAATGTTGCCACTAGGCACCAACTCCCCCCAGCTTCAGCTTATGTTCACCTCCCTTTCTGTCGAAGACGTTGCCACTACTGTGACTTCCCTATTGTTGCCCTTGGCTTGTCTTCTACCAAAGATAATCAGGACGACCCACGGATATCCAACTACGTAGAATTAATTTGCAGAGAAATTAATGCTATGAACCTGATTGCCAGGCCAACCCACCTCTTAAACCATCTTTTTTGGGGGTGGGACGCCGTCTCTTGTGCCGCCAAGTCTTGGTTTCCTTGAATTTAAATGCCTTTAAAAAGTGAAAGTTTGGGTTGAGCTTGGAATGCTGAGATCTCAATGAAATGGATCCAGGGACTTTTTGATGCTAGGAAAATGGAACAACTAATGGAGTTTGGGAAGTGAACAGGGTTTCTTTGGGAGT